AACCTAGACTTTCACTCCCTTTGAATCCATTACCTCTTGTCCTGTCCCTGCAGTTCCTAACACAGAGTCCCTCTCCAGCTCCTTGTAGCCCCTTCAGATATTGAAAAGCTGCTCTGAGGTCTCCATACAACCTTCTCTTCTCCAGGCTCAACAGCCCCAACTCCCTCAGCCTGTCCTCACAGGGGAGATGCTCCAGTGCTCTGAGCAACTTGGTGACCTCCTCTGGACTTGCTCCAACAGTTCCATGTCCTCCTCATGCTGAGGACACCAGAACTGTGTTGAGGATTCCAGGTGGGTCTCAGCAGAACAGAGCAGAGGGGGAGAATCACCTCCCTTGACCTGCTGCCCACACTCTTGTGGCTGCAGCCCAGGATTCCTTTGGCTTTCTGATGTTACAGACTTAGAAGCTTTCATTATTCCTCTTAAAATTATTTGGATGCTTGTGAAATACAAACTTGGTGGATATTTTGGGAGACTTCTTCCTTCCCTTTGGCATGAGTTCAAAGCTGGTAGAGTATGGTTTGTGATGGAGAGAACATCCAAAACTATGGCTATGTCTTCCCACCCTGACAGGGTCAGATAGTTCTCGGCTTTGGTTGTGCTGCCAGTCAGGATAAATAAATCCAGCTGCCAAGGCACTGGAGGAGTCATCTGTTGGCACTGAGACCCCTCCAGGCTGTGATGCACCAGGGGGAGTGATGTTGTGCTGCTGCCAGCTGGGAGTGGGGTCTCACTCTGGTTAGCTGGGTGTGGGGTCTCACTGTGTTAGTCTCTGAGGAGTCTCACTGTGTTAGTCTCTGTGGGGTCTCACTCTGGTTAGCTAGGTGTGGGGTCTCACTGTGGTTAGCTGGGTGTGAGATCTCACTGGGGTTAGCTGAGTGTGTGGTCTCACTGTGTTAGTTTCTGTGGGGTCTCACTGTGGTTAGCTGGGTGTACTAGACACTGCAGAGAACACTTTGTCACCACAGTGCAGTGACAAGAGTTAGAGCTGAGCAAGACACCTGTCCGTGATCAAATATTCCTCTTAAATTAAAAGCATGTTTAGCTATTCTACTCAGCCTATTCTTAGGTAGCTAATAATGGAGTTGGAGCCTCTTGCTCTATTTTGAGGATGTCTTATTGAATGGCATAGAACAATGCCACTAATTTGTGGCACAGAAGTCCCTGTGCATCAGCTCTTCACTGGTGCTTTCCTGGGGGGAAGGTAGAACTTTTTATCTCAAAAGACACTGATCATTCTTCTCAGCATATCAAAGAACAAATGTACTGTAGGCTTTTCTATTGAAAAAATAATAGGACAAATGGCTTTTATCTGTGTTTCCATCATTACACCTGCAGAAATCTCAGTGAGGCTAATGGGAGTCGTAGCAGCAGAGATAAAAGCCAGTCACGCTGCCAGTGAGGGATGGAGCACAGCAGAACAAGGCACAACTGCAGGAGGAGGGGGGTTCAGCCCTGCAGGGGCAATCTGCACGTGTGGAACTCAGCCTGCTCGGAATAAATTGCTGCATGCCAAGCCAAAGCTCTCCAGATGGGCAGAGCTGATGGAGCTAATGCAGTGACTGCACAGACTTACTGAATGCTCACCTTTATTGCTGCCTACTTGGAGTTTTTCAGGGCAGAAAAGAGTTTGGTCTCTGCATCTGCTCTGCCATAGGTGCATGTATGATATGTATGATGGAGAACACCCAGAGGACAAAGTAAAAGCCTCTGGACTCTCTGACAGGGAAGGAAGAGTTGGGACCAAGAGGATTAAGCTAGAGCTCTCAGCTGTGGGTAGAATTGGGGTGAGCTGAAAGCAGCAGGCTCAGCTCAAAGAGCAGGAAAGAGGTGAGGGGACAGTGCAACAAGGATCAAAGACTTGCAGGGCTCTGTAAAGATTAAGAAAGAAAAAGCAGTAAGCCTTTAAAAGCATTCAGTAATACATGATGGAGGAGAACACTAACTGAGAGCAATAGTTAGTCCCCACACTGATCACAAATGGTTCCTGGGAGCAGAAGGGGAATGAAGTTCTGGCTGTGGACCCTAGGACAGAGTCATTAGCTGGAGTGTGCTACACAGAATTGCTTAGTTCACTGTTGACAAAGGCAGCATAACATGCACTTAGCTTCACTCCTTGACAGCTTCTGAGATCATTTTGTTTACAATACAGTTTGAGTCCTGCCCAGATTTTATCCCTGGACCCTTGAAATCAGTAGCCCAAAAGCAGCAGATGCACTGCCACCAGTAACTGCTTGGAGCTAGATGCAAATAACAGGGGGTTTGAGTTTTATCTTTTGTTTTACTATTTAAAATAACGTGTGCTGTCCTCTTTATTAGTTTGAAATACAGATTGAATGTTCAAAGCAGAGAAAGAAGTTGAGAACTTGTTACGGGAGGTTTCTTTAAAAGGGGAACTGTGCAAAGAGTGGTTTGGATCAGCCCAGGTGCCAGGATCCCACCTGTAAATGCAGTTCTTGCCCTTCACTTGCTATCCAAGCTCAAGGGACTCAACATTGCCTTTTAACCCGTGAGTCAGAAAGGCTTTCTGTGAGAGGCACCGAGTGCTGCTGTCTCTGGTGTTCCCTTCCCACTTCATCTGGGGCTGGGTGATATTACCTGTACTGTCCTACAGCCTCTTTGTGTCTGGCAGCATTTTTTTTCCTGTAAGAAGAGCATACCTGGGCCACATGCTCCTGAAAAAGCACTGGGTGGTAATCTGATAGATCTGGATGTTCTCCAGCCCACAGAGAAAAATGGCAAGTTATCCTTTGTCATGGGACATTCATAATGAATAGAAAAACAAACACTTTCTCAGCCCTCAGTGCCCAAAGGAAGTCTCCAAACAGGACTGAGTGTGTGCAGATAGCATTCAGAGGGATTGAAGAGCTGGAGTATGTGTCATTTGACTCGTAGAAGGTGCCAAGACTACAACAGAAGAGCTTGGCAGGGGAAGTATCCTTGCTGCTCTGGTAGGACAGTGACTGCACAACTTGCAGGGACCCAGTAGAAGTTTGCTGTGAACAGACTGGCTCCTCCCTGAGCTGACTGAAGGAATTATGAGGTGATTTGCTTACAGCAATGTTAGTGTAAGCCTTGCAATAAAGAACTGCTGCTGACTTCAGAGCTGAGCCACCAGCAGTGACGAGTTTGTGATGTCAGTTTACCATCACTCAAAACTACTTTAGAATAGCTGTTAATTCCTTCCCAAAAGAGTGTGTGCCCTTTATATTTCTGCCTATAAACCACCTGGTAGGTACTGCAGCAGGGCTGAGAGCCCTGGGAGCCCCTCGGAGACACTGTTTTGTCGGTGTTGCGTTGTGACATACTCATGATCCTTTTTCCTTCGTTTCCTTTCGTTTCACCTCATTCTTTTCAGTGTGTGTGCTCATGCAGTGACAGTGTGGCTCATTGCCTGAGTGACCCAGTGCTGCTCTGGAGCACCTAGCAGATATCTCACTAACCTCTGGTGGTTGTGCTCCCAGTGCCGCAGAGCACCGGGGACAGGCTGAGAGTGCTTAGCATAACTCAGTCTCGCGTTGTCAAAATACCTCCTGTTGGCTTTCTGTGCTGTTAAACGCTCTTCTATCTGTTCCTAACTTCCCCTGTTCAACAGCAGCCAGACCCAGGGAGCCCTGACTGACTCGGATGACCCCGAAACAGGCTGTGTAACTGATACCAAGCCAACTTCTCGACACTTCTACCCTGTCGCCTTGCTGCTTGTCAGCTCACACTTGCTGGTTGTGTGGCTTATTTTAAGTCTTGCTTTGCTACTAGCCAAATATCAATAAACTTCACTCGTGTTCCTTTCTTTTCTACAAACAACAACGCAGTGACTTTAGCAAAAGGAGCTCTGTTGTAATGTTTCTACAAGCTCAGACCCCAAGGATTCATCTTTACGAGTGTCTGAAATGTACTGTGTTTTCGCTCTTCTTTTCTGAACTCTGAGAAGTATACTATGCATCGAGTGACTTGATTTGCTCTTTCTGTCCATGGTAAAGCTTTCCCACTGTAATTAGCTCGAAGAAAGCCACTTTCAATGCCGTCACTGTATAGAAGGTGTGGAATCCTGAATGCTTGAACCCCTCTCCCCAGAGTGATTAGTCTCATGAAACAAAAAGACCCAAAGTGAATTTGCACAGCACAAACTAACCCCGGGAACGTGGCAGGGCAGTGGTTTGTCAGACTTAACCTTCGTGGTGGTTTTTCCATTGTTACTCGCTGATGGGATCGGTTTCGGTTAATGAATAATTATTACTTTGCTACGACTAACCCTTTTCTGTAGAGTGACTGAATGGAATAGACTAAGTTCTGTTTTGTAATGGAATTAACCTGTTTGTAACCGTTGCTTTAGTTGCTTTTGCTTTCAAGACACTTTTCTATTCTTTTTAAGGAGGTCCTGTTTCTGTCTTGATGCACCACTTTGGCACTTGTGACTTTTGTACTGTATGTGGGAACATCCTCCCTTTGTAGCGCAGAGAGGTGGATTGGGCTGTTTGAAAAGCCATTCTCTCTTTTTTTTCATTGCAAAGCTGAACATGCAGGAGACGAAGCAGAGATGAAACTTTCCTTCACAAATCTCTAGGGCCAGACTTACTAAAATGCCTTATTCCTAGAATCTGCGTTTTTAGGGCAGTGTAAACTCGCACATATATAGCAAACAAATTGGAAAAAAAAAGAGAAGTATGAAAAGGTTTAAAAGGCAAATATATTTCTGGAATTAGAGAAAAATGTATCATTAAAGTATTTGAATTTTTTTTACTAAACTTTAACCTCAAGGGCAAATATATTGGGGGGGATGGAAAAATCTTATCACCTATTTCTGAGGGCAATAACTGTACTGGGCCTGGCCTTGGATTTAACTTTGTAAGATGTATCATCACTTGTGGAAAACAGAAAAATGTAGAGTTGAATCTTTGTTATTTTTACTTCAACTGTTGCTGAAACTCTGCAATGAACAAATAAAGCATATTTCTTTATTCTGTGTTTGATGCAGTTGTCCTTTTTCCCCCTCTCACTAGAGAAGGATGCCGCATAGAGAATGTGCTGAAGAATGTCAAATGCAGAAAGTATGCATTCAACATGCTCCAGCTGATGGCTTTCCCAAAGTACTACAGACCTCCAGAAGGCACATATGGAAAAGCTGACACCTAAGCTTAACCAAAGTGTAATCAATCAGCACACACACCACGCTAATTAGTGACTAGAACAGTCGCTCTTGATGATGAATTCCTTGGGAATGTGTGACCAGTTGAGGTATTACTCTGATCAGGTTTTATCACTTGACAGGAAAATAACTCCAGGTAGTTGTTCTGAAATAAAATGCCGTGGAAAAGCAATGGACTGGATACTCTCAAAATCGAATCTGTTCAACTTGTCTTTGTGAAGTTGAAGCTCGGTATGACTTGTGAGCCACTGGGAGTAGTTTTTGGCTTGTTTGATGGAAGATCAAAAAGGGAAGTGGCATTTGCTGCAGGAACTGAGGTTAAGCAATCTGGAAGGAGCATTCTGACTCCAGCCCAAAACCTCAGGGGGTTCAACTGCTGGAAGCTGTGTGTTCTGGAGCCAGCAGAGCTCAGAGTTGTGATCACTAATGATTAGCCCCTTCACAGAAGTGTTTGTGGAAGATGTTAATACCTGGGCTAAATATAAATTTGGTAACTACATTTAGCTTCCTTATGTAAGCGTGGAACTTCATACAATGTTTTTAGTAACTGCAGCCTGTAATTGCAGCAATTCCACTCTGATTCCCTCAGTTCCTTTGGATGGATCGTTCTTGGCTCTCTGCCACAGCCAAACACCACTTATTTCATTCTCACATGAATCACACTGACCAGGGGGATTCATCCTACAAGGAAGGTGACCTGAATTTGGCCTCCCATTTACTGTAAACCCTTAAAAGCAAATTTTCTTTAGTGGTAGGCAAAATGAGTTGTATATACGGGGGTCAATGTATCCTTAGGCTATAAAAACTTGTATGTTATTATAGAACTGAAAATCCATGTTACAGTTATGAGTAAACTGCTGTATTAGAACTAGTTAGCCACTGCAGCTGGTTTATACCAAGTCTGTAATGCTGCAGGAAAACACTCTAGGATGAAGAACTTTCGGCTTTAAGAATGAATGTTAATGCTCTGCCAGCTTGTGTTAGTCCTGAAATTTGTCTTGCAAAGAACATTTGTGTTGTCTAATTGTGTCTATTTATTACCTTCTGCTTCCCAGAGAAAAATGCAATATAAACCCCCCAAGTATCCACTGGTTACTGACCTCTGTGTAATGCATTCATTGTCATACCTGGAGCTGAAGTATGAGACATTATCCTGAGGAAACTGCCCTGGGAATTACCATCTGTAGGAAACTGTAATTGCCATGGATAAAGAAGTTAACGTTTGCTTCCTCCTGTGGAAGTCAAAGAAGTCTTGATGCACCAGGAGTCACAATTCTGTTCCTTTCAAGGCATCAGTGCCCATTGCTGGGTATGAACCTGTAACTGTAATAGTAAGAATTTAAGATCCTGATCCTGCAAATTCTATTTGGGTGATCACATGGAAATGATTTATCATGTGGCTGAAATTAAATCCACCTTGTCTGTTTGGGGCTTGCAGGAAAACAACAGAAATGGATCCTTGTTCTAATGCTCATTGATTTCAGCCAGAAATTCACCCACAGAGCAGTCACTCTTTGGAACTTTTTTCCCCAGGTGAAGTAAGTAATTTCAGTAGTGTTTTGGTGCATTCCTTTTTCACTTCTATTATGTAACATGCTGTCACTAATGACCTCTTTGCTCCCAGCACGTGTTCAATAGGTGTCGGGATCTTTGGCATTGCATCCCAGATAAGCTCAGACAGATGAGAACACAAGGCCTGGATGTTGTTCTTGTCGTGTACCAGTACAAGTAGGTGCTACTCACTGGGTTGTTGGATGTGTGCATAAAGTAGTGTTTGAGTCTTTGACTAGAACATAGCTGATCTACACAAAACCTTTCAGTGGATTGACAGAATGTAAACCCTCCCAGGAAAGTTCTGTCCCACTGCTGCCCTCGCCCTCACTATCTGCATGTTTATTATTAGCTTAACCCCTGCATGTACAGTTCAGAGCAGTGATCAGTTCATCCTGCCTCTCAGAAATAACCCCACAGGTGTCCAGGTGGGACTGCCAACCTTCCTGCAGGAGTCCTGGAACTGCCTGTGAAACTCTGTGTGGGGAAGGTGTTCACTGGTGGGTACTAGAGGTTCCTAGAGTTCTTTGTTTGAGTCCCATGGGCATCTTCAAAATATTAAATTCTCTAGATTTTCTTATCAGGAAAACAGTCTATCAAGTACTTGCCTCACATTTTAATATCACTCGGGTTCTAAATTGCCACTGTCAGTGTTGTGGTACTTGTATGGTGAAGGTGTTTTCTACATTGAAGTCATGTTTTTGGTGAGGAGAACGGAAAAAGGGCACTGGTTTGCTGTGCTTTCTGTTGTAACAACCACTGCCAGTATGAGATTGTGAAATTAGATAATCTGTTCTTTGCTAAAGGTAATTAAGGAAGGAAACCAAGCCCCACACAGGGCTGAGCTTTGTGCTATGTGAGATTGACACTTGTCACTCAAACCTTTGGTTGGAACATCTTGGTGTAGGTCATGAGCCCCTTGTAGAACCTGCTGATGTGGTTCCAGGTCTCCTGGAAGAGCCTTGTGGCTTCAGCACTGAAACAGGCTCAGATGTTCTGTTGTTGGGTCGTTGCCTGCTGGGACCCCTTGGACAGAGGCTGTGCCACCAGTGGAGCCAAGGTCAGGGGGTTTCTGGTTTGCCTCCCATGAGAAATCAAGGGGATTGCTGCAGGTTCTTTGTTAGTTACCCAGAGAACTCTTTGTAGCACTGCTCTAAACCCTGTGCATCGTTTGAATGCCTATCAGAGAAGTTAAATCACCCCCAGGGTCTTGCACATAATCTGATGGTTCACTGTGAGTATCAGTGGAGTAAAATTACACAAAATAATTCTGATAAGCAAGCTACAGTATTTGTTTTGCCAAGGGCTAAGGTGGTCGTGCTGATTTTGGTGGTGGCTTCACAGAAAATGGTCCATAAGCTCTAAAAGCTTTTGTAAGGTGTAATATAATCTGCCTTGAGGCAGGTCTCAAGGGCTGAAAGATGAAAATCCACATTCTGGTGTCTAAAGCCAAATCTTGTTTTGCTTACAGAAGGGATTATTTGCAGAAATCAGGTTGTCAGGATCTGGGGTGAGGAATCCTGAGCTAAGGGCTTGCAGCTTTGAGCATTTGTACAATGCTTTGCACACTTAGGTGTGGGTTTGTCCCACAGACTAGTGACTGAATGGAGAGCCAGCATCAAATGCCTAAAACATAGGGAAAGGGAAGTTACAGTCATTCTTTCTCAGAGATGATTGTGGTGTTGTTATGACACACAACAGTCACAGTCCTGACATTACTCAGGAAGATCTTTTTTCTGAAATCTTCTTTGGGGGAGCTTAAAACATGTTTTTTCAATGTTTATACTTTGGCCTTTATGGAGAACTAGGATACAGAAGTCTTTAATTATGTTACCTGATTTTTGTCTGTGTGAAGCTGTGAATTCTGATCCCAGCTATGCCTGTGCTATAAAGAACAAATAACTTAGGAGAACAGCTGAAACAGAGTATTCACTGAGAAAGAGCCTTAACGACATCCCTTGCACTGTTCATTTTTGTACTGTTGAATTTTGCCATTACACAAGTGAAAAAAGAAAGTAACAAACACTTCCTGTGCTTGAATCAATCAACCCTGATGGAAATTCACTTATTTGCAGTGGGATAAATTGGAATGCTGTTCTAAATCACCACCAGTCATGGTGCCACACATCCTTTTGAGGCCCAAGGTATAAAATGCCTATTAGAGTTTCAAGGAAAACTGATTTTTATTTCTAGGTTAACCCCAAGTTCCAGGAAATCCTATGGTCCATTTATAAACAGCAGAAAATGCACTGAACATCAAACAGTGGAATAAAGAAAGCAAAAACTCTGCAGCAAAATTACTCGTGTGAATTGATGTATGTGATCAGTTAATAGTCTTAGTGGTATTTCATGTCTGTTGGTTGTGTTGTAACCCCAGAACTGTTGCTGTCTCTGTTGATGCTCTTTTTCATTGTAAAGTGTGCTGTGTATGAGACATGACTCTGCATCTTGCTTTTCCCTTCCCAGCAGCTCAAAACGAGCTGTTTACAATGGAATTGCTTTAAAATCATTTGCTGCTCTGCAAAACACAAACTTACCTTGTGAACTGCATGTTTACAAAAAACCAACAAACCATACCAATGCTTATTGAAACAAAGAAAGGAGAAGCATCCTTGGCTTCGGTCCCAGAGCATTGCTTTTCCCTTAGTCATGCAGCACATGGAGTGCTCTGTGCTGCCAGAGCATTCAGCCTCACTCTGAGCACTCCTTCCTTTGCTTTCTCTCACAGCATCTGCTGAGTCAGTAATACAGCAGCTCATGATCCAAGATTAAAAACTTGCATTTGCTCACACACAAAACTTCCTACTGCAGGGTAAACAAAAGAGAAGAGGTGTGTGACCCAGTATTGCAGAGCTGGCCCATAACTCCAGGTTTGTGTGCTGGCTGGGACAAAGAGCTGTCATGGGGTCCAACTGGTCTGCAGGGTTTGGAGCAGTGAGGTTTGACCCAGACTGCTCCTCTGAGATCTCTGGCTGCTGGCAGTGCTGTTGGGTTGCTCTTTCCATGCCTGCAAAGTGCTTTCAAAGTTTGCAGCACTTCTGATTTGTTTGTGAACAGTCTGAGTTCCAAACCTCTATAATTACTTTGGTACTTGTTTCCCTTTTGTGTATCCATCCCTTGACATGTTCCTGTCTCACACCCTGGAGCACACAGGACTGTGTACAAGCAATATCAGTGGGACTTCGGCCCATTGCATGTGTTTGTCAGGGAAATGAAGCACAAGTAGCAGTTCAGCTCTTTCCATGTCAGAATCTCTCGTTCTGGTTTCCTTGCTGTCTGTAAGCCATGGCCATTGTACACTGTGTGTATACTTTTATTTAAATAAATGTAACATTTATTTTTTATCTTTCTGCCTTTTTTTTTCTTTTGCCATTGGTTTCTCATTTCCATTGTGGTGGTGTTGCCCAGAGGGTGAGTTGTGCATGTTGGTAGAGAG